CTTGGCTCACTGCAACCTCCACTTCCTGGGTTCAAGCCATTCTCATGCCTCAGCCTCTGGAGTAGCTGGGATTACAGGTGTGTGCCACGACGTCTGGCTAATTGTTGTAGAAACAGGGATTCGTCATGTTGGCCAGGCTGGTCTCAAACTCCTGGGCTCAAGCGATCCACCCACCTTGGCCTCCCAAAGTGTTGGGATTACAGGCATAAGCCACCGCACCTGGCCCATACCTTTTTATTTTTAAGAATATTTATAGGCCAGGTGCCATGGCTCACACCTGTAATCCCAGGACTTTGGGAGACCAAGGTGGGAGGATTGCTTGAGTTCAGTAGTTCAAAACCAGCCTGGGCAAAATAGCAAGGCCTCATCTCTACTAAAACTTTGAAAAATTAGCCAGGCATAGTGGTACATGCCTGTAGTCCCAGCTACTCAGGAGGCTGAGGCAGGAGGATTGCTTGAGCCAAGGAGTTTGAGACTGCAGTGAGCCATGGTCACACCACTGCACTCCAGCCTGGGTGACAAAGCAAAGCTCTGTCTCAAAAAAAAAAAAAAAAAAAAGAAGAATATTTACATAAATATCACCTAAATAAAACTGAAAACATTCTTTTAATTACAATTTTTTTGTTCAAGTAAATTTGCTACTGTATAATAATCCAGAGTAATTTATTACATGGCTTCCACATATAACGTGACTTTTCTCAGATCCAAAAGTACCTGCTCTTCTCTCTTCTGCTTGACATTTTTCTGAGAACATGTCTGCCATGTGAGGCTCTCCATGATAGGCACCCTGCCTACCTCTCCAGGGTCATGTACCACTCACTCCCTGCCTCACAACGCATGCTCCAGTCACTAACCCGTTCTGTACGTCTCCCCTTGCCCTGCACCCACTCCTATGGGCAATCCATTAGATCTTAGGTATGAGGAGAAAGCAGCAAAGGAGCCTAAGGAGGCAGTTTAAAGACGTTCAATGCTGCTGACAGGAGAGACAGGTTTTCAAATAAGGTCCAAAGCTGCTAAGAGGCTTTAAAACAAACAAACAAACAAGCCTGGATCTAACAACATGCAGACCTTTGGTAACCCTGCCAGGAGCAGCTGCTGTGTCGTGTGCTTTTGAGAGAATGGGAAATAAGGGACTGGAGACCATGAGAAGACTGAACCCTCTTTAAAATAGTTTTGTTGTAAGGGGAGCAGAGAAATGGAACAGTAGCTCGAAGTGGCAACTAGGATGGACAGAGGACTTTTGAGTGGCTTTTTTTCCTTCTCCTTAAGAAAGGAGAAATAATAGCAAGTCTGTATGCTAATGGGGATGATCCAGTAGAAAAGAAAAGATTGATGATGCAGGAGATAACTGCTGGAATGATATCCCAGAGTAGGTGAGAGGGGATGGGATTAGAAACACAAGCTAAGGGCTGGCCTTCTGTGAAAGCAGTGACAGCTGATCCATATAGCAGGAGGGAAGGTAGAAGATACAGAGAGAGATGCTGACAGGCGGGTAGCTTGCATGAGTTGTGTTTGTAATAAAAAATCAAGACACATGGGATCAAGTGTTTGAAAGGTGGGAAAGTCCCAGAAAATCTAAGCTGATGGCCATTATACCAACATTACACATTTGCCATCTGGCTAGTTAGGATTATACTCTGTCAGGGGGAAAAAAAAAAAACAAAAAACAAAAAACAAAAAACTTCACCTGTAATATTCACAAAAGTCACGTGCTTCACTTTTCCTGTCTTACAATCCTTTTCCACTGCTAAAGATAATTAAACAATTATTCACTGAAACCTCTATGTGGTTTGAACAACAGAAGTGGACATTTAGCCATGTCAAGCTTTAGCTGCTGTTTAAGAGCTGCAGAAAGGTTTCAGTCCTCTTTGAGGTACAGAGACTGCAGCTCAAGGTTGTTTCTAGTTTTCTTGGTCTCCTGATATGCTAATGCATCAACTGAGTAGCCTTGGCTCACTGGTACTATCTAACAAGACCCTGAACCCAGAATGTAGTCAGCTGGCAGTTAGTAATTGAGAATCTGTTTGGTGACACGGATAACTGAATGGGGCCCTTAAGTGTTCCATCCCATTGACAGGGGTTGCCACCTTGACTTGTTCAGAGAGTTGGGCCAATGTGAAAAGTCCTAAATCTGTCATCAGTTTAAAGACGTTAATCCCATCTAAAGACACCAAACTTTGTTGGTATGATGCTGTTGGCTGCATTTTTTCCCCACGTAAAAATTCTTCATTTCTTTAGCCATTTCTATGATTTATTATTTTATGTCCAACAGTAGTGGCCATCTCCAGAAAAACAGCCAGTCTTCATCTCTCAAATAAAATAGACATGTCTCTTGCTTTCTTGTCAAGGGAAATAACTGCTTCCTACAGTTTACAATCTTCTACTCATTATTTTATTTCCCCAAGCTACTGTTTCAGATATCTTCTGCAACGACAACAACATATCCTCAAATGGAAGGAGAAAAAAAAAAGATGGTAACTTGCAAATAATATTACCCAATCAAGTCATAAAAAACTAAGATATTTCAAGAATACTATATAAAAGTAAAATGTTTTACAGTGTTAGATTATTAAACAGCAGCCAAGAAAAGTCTAGACACAGCCATTCTGTTTAAATGAAAATGTACATGGCATGAGTTACGCATGTGCATTTAAAGAAATAAAAAGCTAACAGATCTAAATGAAGACAAAATGTAAAAATTACTCACGGATAAAATACTGCTAATTTAAGTTTGTTATCCTAAGTCAGAACAAAAAGATAAAAAGGCATAGAAATATTGGCTGAATGACAACTGCGTATATGAAGCGCTGAAACAGGTTGACAAAGCATGGGATCTATCTTGAAAGAACTTACAATCAAAGGAGATGAAAAAACATGCTGACCATTGAGTAAAACTTACCACTAAAAGACATATCTTATAAAAAACTGAACTCTCTTCAAGCCTAATGTAAAAAGAATAAAGGAAAACGGCATGCTCAACTGGTAGTAGCAATTATTACTTCAAAACAAAGAATACAGATGTAGATTTCATGAGACAATCACAGTAAAGTCAATTCAATTCATTATTTTTATTTATTTTTTCTTTTGAGACGGAGTCTCACTCTATCTCCAGGCTGGAGTGCAATGGCGTGTTCTTGGCTCACTACAACCTCCGCCTTCCAGGTTCAAGCGATTCTCCTGCCTCAGTCTCCCACCAACGCAGTGAACGCCCCCCCTCCCCGCCATTCCCCCACCTCCACCCCCCGTCTCTACTAAAAATACAAAACTTAGCTGGGCGTGGCGGCGCATGTCTGTAGTCCCAGCTACTTGGGAGGCTGAGGCAGGAGAATTGTTTGAACCCGGAAGGCGGAGGCTGCAGTGAGCCAAGAACGCGCCATTGCACTCCAGCCTGGCAATAGAGCGAGATTCTGTCTCAAAAACAAACAAAAACCCCCACAAATTCTGAACTGACGAGGAAACATAACTAGACTGCCGAAGCTTGTGACGGATCTCAGAATACCACAAAGTTCCCCGGACAGAAATTTAGCTACAGAGATAAGCCGGGCGCAGTGACTAGTCTGTAATCCCAGCACTTTGGGAGGCCGAGGCAGGCGGATCACCTGAGGTCAGGAGTTGGAGACCAGCCTGACCAACATGATGAAACCCCATCTCTACTAAAAATACAAAAAAAATTTGCCTGGTGTGGTGGCACGCGCCTGTAATCCCAGCTACTCCGGAGGCTGAGGCAGGAGAAATTTTGCTTGAACCCAGGAGGCGGAGGTTGCAGTGAGCAGGCCACTGCACTCCAGCCTGGGTGACAGAGACTCAGTCTCAAAAAAAAAAAAAAAAGCTACAGACACAGTTCTCAAGTCTGAACTTACATATTTAAGGACGCATGAAAACAATCAAGCTTATATTTTATCAAGACAAATGGCCAGAAAGATACCCTGGCCATTGCAATTTCAAAAATTTTGGAAATAATATTTGCAGAGGTATTGTTAAAAACCTAAATGATTCATTTGAGTTAACCAAAGAAGCGTAGTCAAATTTTTTAAAACCGCATACCTTATTAAATAATGACTTTTTTAAAAAAGGTAATGTCTTTTGAAAACTTACTTCTCATATTAACGTCTATAGGATTTACACTGGCAGCGTGAACTTTGACAATGACTTCATTTGGATAGTGTATGATAGGTATCATCATGTTCTGAGTGAATCGAAGTACTTCATTCTTCCCGTATTTATCTATCACCCAAGCAGGCATGATAGTGCTCCTTGGAGAGGTAGTACTAATCCTTCTAACTGAAGGCTTTTGGACAACTTTGCTTCTCCAGAAGCAAACCGCAGTGCATGCATTTCTTCTAAGTACGTAAGTCTTCAGAAATTCCATTGCAAACACTGGTTGAACGGCGTGCTCAAATTCAAATACACTTGGACTGGATCAAACTCTCACCCCTGAATTCGGTCAAATTCTGCCAAACCACGGGCTAGTTTCAAAATTAAGCATGCAAAACGGAGCATTCGAAAATGAAGCTAATCTAATGGAGAAACTGAAAGAATATGGAACTTTTATTCTGCTCTTCGCATATGAAATGCTCCAATCAACGTTCCAGTCAGTATTCTGTCTATTCTCCTCCCTCCCTTTCACCCTCTCCCCTTCTAAAAAAAAGGGGGGGGGATAAAAAAGCAGGTGCGCAAACCCCCTAGATCCCTGCCCTGTCCTGGGAACCCTCGGCGGGACAGGCAGACACCGCTCTCGGTCCAACGCCAGAGAATCGAACGCTTGCCAACTGCCGCCGCGACCCTGGCCCGGAATCTCCTTGCCTGCCCGCTCTCCTCAGCCGCCGGGGTGGCTTTACGGCGCCAACCAATCGCCTGCAAAGATCATTTCCTCGGGCTGCAATTAAACCAATCCAAGTACTCGTTGTTGAAGGGCTCAGTGACAATTAAAGATGGCTGCGGCCATGTACCATCACTAGCGACCGGTGACCTCTTTTTCCTCCTTGCCTGGCTCCTATGGTGGCAGGCTGGGCACGAGGACCATGCTGGGCCGGACCCTCCAAGAAGTGAGTGGAATTGGCTCGCTGAGGCCCCCGGGAGGGCGGAAAGTTAAGCGGACTTCGTTGACAAAGAGTCCCTGGGCTTTACCACGCATCTTGGCCCACCTCGCTGCCTTCTCTTGAACTGAGTGGGGGATAGGTACCTTTCGGTCCTTGGGATGTACTTGCCGTACCCATTCAGGAGTTAGGGCCTTAGCAGGGAAATCTCTGCACCGCGGATCTGTGGGGTGGTGAATCGGCTTCTCACCATTAGACGTTTGTTCTGGTGTGGGTCGGGCACCGGATGGTCTCGGAGTGGGCTTTGCCAGATAAAGGGGGCTTGCGGGGCCACTTCAGTCTCTCTTCTGTCCCCGACACTTAGCTGCAGTTGTCGCTAAGAAGCCCGGCGAAACTGTAGTTTGCAAAATTCAAACCAGTAATGTTTGGGCTTTTTCAAAGAATTCGTTCTCTAGGATTTACCAACCACTAAGATACCAGGGATTCCCGAACCCGTGTCTCCATTTCCTGGACGTCATGTTTGAACTCTAGGCTGTATTTGTGAACGCCTTCTGGGCAGTTCTTCTAAATGTCACGTAAGCACCCTCAAATTCACTTTAATCAGTGAAGTAATCATTGTAACAGGACTTACCTCTCAACCGCCGTCTTAAAAAACAAAAGCTCTGGTATTTCTGAATTCTTAATAGTCTATTTTTAATGGCACAAATATTATCTCATTTGCCCTTAGATTCTTCCTCATCTTTCATATCCAGTAAATCATTAAGCCCTGTTCATTCTGTCTTGCAGATATGGCTGGAATCTGCCCTCTCACGTTATGTCTGCTGTTAAGCTTTAATTCAGGTCTTTTTACTTCCTTTTTACTTCCATCACTCAACCTTAGAACTGCCTGCAGGCCAGTTGCTATCAGAGTCACGTGAAGCACCTATTAAAACTAAAGCTATGTCCCACTCTAGACTTAATTAGATCTGTGTGGTAGGTTCAGGAGTATGGTTTAATGGGGGCTTCAGGTGATTTCTGGTAAGAAGTAGGCGCTGAGGACCTAAACTGCCTTCCATCTTCCTTTTTATTCCACCCTAGAAGTTGTCGTTTTGTTTGTTTGTTTGTTTCCCAGCTGGCAGCCTGGAATTATAATTATAGATAGCTGTAATATATAATGAGAACTTTAAATCCACAGGCTTTAAATAATAAATAGTTCCTCCCCAAAATACATTATTATTTTACCATTTTAAATTGTATCGAATCAAATTTTTTCTTTAAAAAATAAATTAATAAATGGACAACACCCAAAACTTGTTTTAAAATTAAATACAACCTATAAAAATATGGTATTTCCTTTTTCTGCCTTCTCCACTGGCAATCTAAGTAACAGAAAGAGACTCTAAAGAAAATATTTATTTTGGGGTAGCAATGCAATGGGAATATGTGTGATATAGTAAACTATGTGCCTACTCAAGGAGGTTGGGGCAAAGGATGTTTTTAAAGACAGAAAGAAAAAGATTACATAAATTATTTTGAATCAGTTATCCTTGGCCACAAGGATCAGTCACAAAGGTGGCATCAGTCCAAGGTTGAATGGCCAGTTGCTGGACAGACATCCTTACAGAAGTACTTGTGTGTGTGGAAGGTTGCAATGGCCTCTGTGCAAGGTTGTGTTTTTTGCAGTCTTATGATTGTTGTTTTTTAAAAAATTTTAATGGGTACATAGTAGTTATACGTATTTATGGGGCACATGAGATATTTTGATATAGGCATACAATGCATAGTAATCACATCAGAGTAAATGGTGTGTCCATCACCTCAAGCATTTATCATTTCTTTGTGTTACAAACATTCCAGTTATACTCTTTTAGTTATTTTTAAATGTACAATAAATTATTGTTGACTGTAATCACCCACTGTGCTATCAAATACTGTATCTTATTCATTCTGTCTAACTATATTTTTGTACCCATTACCCATCCCCACTTCCCACCCCTACTACTACCCTTTCTAGCTTCTGGTAACCATCATTCTACTCTACCTCCACGAGATCAATTGTTTTAATTTTTAACTCCCACAAATAGGTGAGAACATGGGATTTTGTCTTTCTGTGCCTGGCTTATTTCACTTAACATAATGCCCTCCAGTTCCATCCATGTTGTTGCAAATGACAGGCTCTCATTCTTTTTATGGCTGAATAGTACTCCATTGTGTACATGTAGGACATTTTCTCTATCCATTCATCTGTTGGTAGATACTTAGGTTGCTTTCAAATCTTGGCTATTGTGAATAGTGCTGCAAGAAACATGAGAGAGCAGATATGTCTTTGCTATGTTGATTTTCTTTCCTTTAGGTGCGTATATACCTAGCAGTGAGATTGCTGGATCATATGGTTGTGCTATTTTTTTAAATTTATTTTTAATTTTTTTTTTTTTAGAGACAGGGTCTCACTGTGTTGGCCAGGTTGGTCTTGAATTATTGGCCTCAAGCAATCCTCCTCTCTCAGCCTCCCAAAGTGCTAGGATTACAGCTGTGAGCCACTGTGCCCAACCAGTAGTTCTATTTTTAGGTTTTTGAGGAACCTCCATACTATTCTCCATAGTGGCTGTAGTAATTTACATTTCAACCAACTTTTCTCTATCCTCACCAGCATTCATTATTGCCTGTCTTTTGGAAGAAGCCATTTTAAGTGGAGTGAGATGATACCTCATTGTAGTTTTGATTTGCAGTTCTCTAATGATCAGTGATGTTGAGCACGTTTTCATATACCGGTTTGCCATTTATATGTCTTTCTTTTGAGAAATGTCTATTCTGATCTTTTGCCCATTTTTAATTTGATTATTGGATTTTTTTTTTCCTGTTGAGTTTTTTGAACTCCTTATATACTTCGGTTATCAATCCCTTGTCAGCTGGAGTGTGATAGTTCTTCTTATCAGGCATTCGTGCATGAGAACCCTCTCTTCTTGACCTTCCTTGACTCCATTAGTCAGGATTTTAACACAAGTGACTCTATTTTGATTTTGACAACTGCCATAGCTCCTTAAGTGCTACCTTTTTTAGTGCTACTTCTCTCTGGTGTCATTGAGTGAGCCATAATGAAAAACAACTTTTGCGTCATGGGGGAAAAAGAACTATTCAGGAGAGCTGACCCAGGGGAAGACCCAGAGGTTGCCTTGGCATGATTACTTTTACTTAATCACTCCTTTAATGAACACCTATTAATGCCTAGCATGCAAAACATTTGGTGGTTATTTCCCCAGCTCTAAAACTACCTTCTGTCTACTTTGTATTTTTTCCACATCACTGTACTGATGCCCTAAATTCTACCAATTAGAGATTAATTAATTCATACAAATTATCTTTCAATTTAGTTATATTTTACATATGTACAGATGCCTGGGAAGGTTGAACGATTTGTTCACCCATTGTTGTAAATTATAACAGTTCAAATTTCTTCATAATACCTTAATTGAGATAATCAGTTGAAGAGGGGAAAATTTGCTGGGAATTAGGGAGAAGGGCTGGAAATGATGGAGGCAATTTGGGGGATGTGAGTGGAGGCTTATGGTAACAGGAGTCCTGGGATTAGGCACAAAAAAGAGGTAAAATGCCAAGTAGGTAAAATTCCTATTTGTAAATTTTACCCAGGTACATTCAGAAAGGGGGAGGAATCTCACTTTTACTTTTGTCTTTTGTGGCATGATTCCAGTGTTTCTAGGAGTGAGGCACCAGGCTAATATTATTAATCCTAAAGTTTAAAGAAGGATATATTCATTTGGCTTCTTGGAGCTTCAACTTTAGAAAAACTAATCATTGCTCTATAGGGAAATCGATTCTAAATTTTAAACAACTGTTATTCATTCAACTAACATTTAGTGAGTACCTCTGTGTTCCAGCCACTGGGGGGTAGCATTAAAGACGGACAGAAGCTCCTGCTTCCTGAAACCTAACATTTTTTTGTGGAAATGCAGCCATTAAACACTTTTTTTAAAAAAAAAAAAAAAAAAAAAGTAAAGGATATAATTTCAGGTAGTATAAGTACTGTGGAGAAAAATTAAGTAGATCATAGTATGATAACTAGTTGGGGGAGCTGGACATTTTAGCTAGAGTAGCCAGGGAAGATTTCTCTGACTGAGTGAATAATACTTAATAGAGACCAGAAGGATATGAAGGGGGAACACTGGGCAGATCTGAGAGAATAGTGTTCCAGGCAGATGGAACAGTAAGTACAAAGACCCTAAAACAAGAGCAAGCTTAACATGTTCGAGGAATAGCAAGAGGGCCAGCATGCCTGGAGAAAAGTGAATGAAGACAGCAATGAGAGAAGAGGTTAGGGAGACAGGTAGGAGCCAAATTGCGGAGAACCTTTGAGGCCACAGTAGGGAGTATGGATTTTATTCAAAGTGTAATGGGAATCTTCTGGAAAGTTTTGAATCTGTGGACATGATCTGAGTTAAAATTTTAAAAGCTCCTTCAGATGACTCTTAAGGATCCATGATCTATAGAAAAGCAAGTAATAAAGTACAAAGACTGACCGGGTGCAATGGCTCATGCCTTTAAACCCAGCACTTTCAGAAGCTGAGGCAGGCTGATTGAGCTCAGGAGTTCAAGACCAGCCTGGGCAATGTGGTGAAACCCTGTCTTTACAAAAAACACAAAAATTAGCTGGGCATGGTAGCGCATGGCTTTAATCCCAGCTGCTCAGGAGGCTGAGGTGGGAGGATCACTTGAGCCTGGGAGGTTGAGGCTGCAATGAGGCGAGATCACATCAGTGCACGCCAGGCTTGGCAGCAGAGCAAGGCCCTGTCTCAAAAAAAAAAAAAAAAAAAGAGCAAGAAAGCATTTTAGAAGCCTGTTGCATTGGCAAGAGATAGTGGGAGTGGATATTGTTTTTAAAGTTAGGGTTTGCAGATGTTTTGGATATGGGGTTTGAGGGAAAGAGAAGAATCAAGGTTTTACTTAGGTTTTAGGCCAGGGCAGTTGGGGAAATGTAACATCAAGATGGGAAAACCTCTAAAGGGAACATGTTT